AAGCATATGTTTAATAAAAATACCGAAACAAAATTCGTAAAGAATTAAATTATCTTTCAAATAAGATCAACACAATTGTAATACGTTACATAGGTTGTGAGATAACCAGTTTCAAATGTACAAAAAAAGTGTTATTTTCGGGTATCGACGAGAAAGAGAAAAAGATAGAAATTTTTAAAATACTCTTCATTTATGCTGTTATAATTAAAGTTTATGCTGTAAAAAATTAAATAGCAAGTACTCACGCCAGTCATAAATCCTACGGTACCACTGCTTTCTAGTGCGTCTGTTTGATTTACAAATTGGATAAACTCTTTGAGTTTGAATTAAATTTAATATTTCATTATTATTTAAATTATTTATATTAAAATCTTGTTCTTCTTTTTTAAACTGAGTGAGAAACATTGTCACGGCTTTTTTAAAATGACAACACAATATATAGCTATCAAGTAAATAAGGCCTAAAAAATATACCCCTACCTTCCACTTCTATTCCCGCTATTTCTATAATGAACAGCTCAAATATCTCCAGCGACTTCAAACGAATAACATTCGGAATATTCATCTTGTACAATTGACAGAACTGCAAACCAGAATGTATGTTTGTATGAATTTCTTCGAAATAGTCTAAATTAGCTTGGAAGTAGTGGTGTATGATGTGAAATTTGACAGTACTTTGCCAGTTATGTTTATTTTAGCATAAACGATAGTATATTTATGCGAACAAAAATCTATGGCAGACAACGTTATACTTGTTAAATAAATACTTGCAATTTTACTAGAAAGTAGAGAAACGTGCTTATTCGAAACTGAACTGGTCAGGTTTCAGGGTTAGCCTTTATATACCTGCGTGTTCGCCCCTCCTTATAACGAAGCCCTCCTGCCCGCCATGCTTAGGTCGTTTTTGGAAATAGTTGTTGAATCTGTACAAGGAAGGTTTTCGGAAATGTTTACGCCTCATATTGTAAGTGAGCTGTAATAACGACATCCGCCGCTGTATGCTTCTTTGCAAGGTCAAACTGAACTAACTTTCTTTTCACTTTGATGTATCGTGATTTTGTATTCTACCCGAATAACGATTTGAGAGTCATTACCGATGGATTTACACAATAAAATTCATAATGAAATTCAGAATACAATACTCTCTTGATAGCTTTCCTTTCGATAACTTTCCGTTTCCAAAAATTTTACGCCCCTACAGGCCTTTGGGCGGAAAGTCATCGAGAGAGTATTGCAAGAAGTAACGATATAACGATGGACATTACTAACCGACACTAATATATTCTCGCGTCTCACTAATTTATGTAACTCACGTAATAAAACGTAACCAACTGCGTATAACAAATTAAACATAAATCGGATAAGAAATCGATGAAACAAAATAACAAATCATCGCGTATTAAATTTATTTATCACATATTTACACTTTAAATCAAATGACTACAATCATCACCCCAAGTGGCGAAATATTTGCAATCCTTTTCTTTCCATTTCTTCAAGTATGGTACTTGGTAATTCCAGTTTCTCTAAATCCTCTTTCGTCAATATGCTCTTCGTTCTTATCCTCTTCATAATAAATTGCAAGGAAAAATCCCTCAGAGAATAATCTGGCGAAATGCAGAAAAATATATAAGTAACAAAATATCAGCCGCATTTGGTGAGTCAACATAATATTGATGCTTACTATGAGAGAATGGAAGGATCGATATCACATCTACTACGTTGCTCCTTTGCATACTGACATATATTTTTTTTTGCTTGATCGAATTTATATTACCTTACACAGATTTTCTTCCCAGATATCAGAATTACTTCAGATAATGGACCATTATGGAAATAAAATATGCCTATGCGATTATTAGGTTCCCCATTCACATTTTGATGAACAAAGTATTGGTGTAAGTTTCTAATTAGAACGTCAGCGTCAAGGAAACTTGTCTCTATTTTTGTGGCATATTATATATAGAAAGCGGTAAAGAAGATCTAGAACAATAAATAGTAAAAGAATAATGTTTAATTCAGTGAGGTATACAATGCGCTTCCAGTAAATACTAAATACTAAATACGTCTGACTGGTCATACATACTCATATTAGTAAATAGTAAATAGTAAATAGTATAACATCATGCAATATACATTCTTATGGGAATATTATTAGACTATACAAATTAACTATATTAGAAACATAATACAAATATGTTATGCAATTGTTGTATAACATGCTTTCCCTGTACAGGTTTAATAAATGGAAATATGAGAATGTAGATAAAAAAATATTATTGTTAAACTTCTTTGACAACAGAACGTACCCAGGTAGCAAGGTGACGTCAAAAGACGTCATTTAGACGCCATTAAGACGTCTATGACGTCTTAATGACATCTTAATATCGTTTTTAGACGTAACCTTGCGACTGATTTAAAGTCTATTATACAAGATGGAACTCGAAAGTTCCAGCCAGACACTAAGATTTTACGGAAAATTTAAATTTGAACAAAAAATTTCCTATAAATAGAATAAAGATGCTTATTTAAAAAATTAATGTCCCATAATCACGGTTTATATACATTTATGCAAATATGTAGAGAAGCATATGTTTAATAAAAATACCGAAACAAAATTCGTAAAGAATTAAATTATCTTTCAAATAAGATCAACACAATTGTAATACGTTACATAGGTTGTGAGATAACCAGTTTCAAATGTACAAAAAAAGTGTTATTTTCGGGTATCGACGAGAAAGAGAAAAAGATAGAAATTTTTAAAATACTCTTCATTTATGCTGTTATAATTAAAGTTTATGCTGTAAAAAATTAAATAGCAAGTACTCACGCCAGTCATAAATCCTACGGTACCACTGCTTTCTAGTGCGTCTGTTTGATTTACAAATTGGATAAACTCTTTGAGTTTGAATTAAATTTAATATTTCATTATTATTTAAATTATTTATATTAAAATCTTGTTCTTCTTTTTTAAACTGAGTGAGAAACATTGTCACGGCTTTTTTAAAATGACAACACAATATATAGCTATCAAGTAAATAAGGCCTAAAAAATATACCCCTTCCTTCCACTTCTATTCCCGCTATTTCTATAATGAACAGTTCAAATAGCTCCAGT